CGATTCATTAATCCACAGGCAAACATGTTAAATTGCTGATGAGTTTTAAAGTATTATATAATTCTAACATATCTATAAAATTTTGTATTGAAATAGGATCAATATATCTTTGTGCATTTGTAGTTGTTCTTACAGTGCCTGTGGATAAGAATCAAATGTTCGTTTGAGTTTATCAATTTTAATCTAAATATGTTCTATAATTTGGTAAATTAGGATTTAGGTTTATAGGTGTGGGGGGAGGACCAAATCGCATTTTATGTAGGGAAAATTCTAAAAATCCAATGGCGGACTATCAGCATTTAGCGCCAACTCCCCCCGTCTGGAGTCAACCACGCCCAGCGCCGATAACGCCCCGTCCACAAAAAAAATTTTGACTGAGGTACGAAAAATCCTAGATCCGCCCCTGACTTGTAGCAAGATTTCTGTAAAATTGATCATGCATATTCAATCTCTGTGATTTGTTTTAGCGGTCTTACTACCGAAGTTCGCTCAAACTTTACCGACCCACCTGCGCAAAAGAAAACACAATTGTTCGACTGCCCAGTTGCTAGACCGTTACACAGACGAGGTGAGTGAAAATATCTTAAAATCTTCAAAATAGCAGAAACGTATAAAATGGAATCTCCTTTAGGATTTTAAAATTTCTTCAATTTGAGATGTTCTTCAACTGAAGAGTGGGGTTTTTTGTGTGAAATATTTGTACATTTCTTGAATAACTTTTGCATGAATCATTCGGATTCTTGTACACGAACACGTACACGTACAGGCTTCAATTGAAAGATTGTAAGCCATATTTGAAACATTTTGAAAGGAACATAGGAGAAGAACCCTTTTAGGTAAATCGTTGATTCTGAAAATCTTCTGGTTGGACGAATCAAAACGGCAGGTTACATTATTTCGTGTCTAAATTACGGAAAGCTTTCTGGAAATGATAATTAAAACGACCCTAAGGAACGTGCTTGCCAGTTTCTCGGACGTTGAAACAGGACCACAAACCAGTGAATTACTCAACTGAAATATCAGCTGAAAAAATTTGATTTTACTCAGTTATGACTGCTCTTTGTTGTTTAACGCCGTTTGTTACGCCGACTCGTCTTTATACTAGACGATTTTAATTCAACGTCTGAGACGATATATTATTGTCTGTAAGATCATTTTGCAAACGCTGTTAGCTCAACACGTTACAGGGTGCGATAATCCGCGCAATTACGAATTTTATTATTACGGTCCAGTACTTCTCTTTGTTTTCAGCCACGTACAGCACCACGTAGGTTCGCGGAACTCTTGCTATATGACATTATTTGTGTACTTACTTTTTGATGGTATACCACATGACCTTTCCAAGCCCAAGGTATTCAATACCGTATTTAATTGTTATATCATGTGTCTGAGATGTCTTGGCATGACACATGATTGGACTGATGGCACTAAGAAACGTTGGAGTCGATTGTTTGTACCGAGTATATGCAACTGTGCTTGTTTTTCTACCTCGTAGTCTGAACATACTTTTCAGAAACCTGTACTTTTATGAACCTTATTTTAATGCCTAAGTACACATTGAGTAGTGAGTACTGACTGAGTTTGTACACTGTGGTTTGTACTAGCGCAAGTACGCGACAACAACCATTGGCATATACCATAATCATTATGCAATTATCGCACCCTGACATGCATTATTGTCGTCTGACAATAATGTCGTCTATCTAATTAACTGTATTTCCACTAGACATTAATGTCGTCTGAAGACGATATTATCGTCTCTGGTATAAAAACGATCAATGATATAACTGACATAAATATTAATATATTCTTTCTTATTGTGTTTCAGAAGCTGGAAATGAAGAAATATTTTCCGTTCCCAATATGTACGAAACCGAATATCAATTTATTGGACAAAAAAGACCAGCCATGGTTGCTTGAATATATAATTTGAACTACATAATGACATTTTTTACTAAATAAATTTAGGTCTTCCATATATTGCGTGTACAGTAGAAATGACGAATCAAAGTAATAATGAATTGACGAAGAATAGTAAAAATAATGTTAATAATAAATTATAATGAGTTTAGTCTCGATTACACAGGGTGTGGTTGCTCGATTCACCTGACCTAAATACGACGCAATTTTCTCGATTCGTAAACCGTCAGGGTCACCAGTAGCAATCAGCTATTGTGCTATACCTTAGCCTCCAGACGTTGCTAGTCGCCGAGAGCTACACAGCTAAAAACGACCAATGTTGCAATATTGATGAAAACAGGATGGAACAATGTTGTGCGGCCCACATTGTTCACAGTTGTCAACAATATTGTTACACCCGACTCAGGCTCAACAATGTTCAACAATTAGCCATTTCCCAATCGAGCAGAGGACTGGGTCTAGTCGCTTGTTTGGAGGGACAAAAAATAAAAATATGCCGAATATGGCATTCAATTCCTAAAGTTATTTGTGCAGCCTGAAACGCAACAATTATAATAAGGCATCTTTTAATATATATTTAGCTCGCTCACTATAACTTGTTGTCCCTCAATCTCGTACCCAGAGCAATGCCTGTGCGCGGATGAGGAAGGCATTGGCTCTGGGGAAATAGACGACCGGAACCTCTAAATTTAGGGGTTCCGGTTGTTTGTCGGCATGCAGTATTGATAAACGTGAAACCAATCACAGCACAGGAAAAATTCTATTTCCCCAGAGCCAATGCCTTGCTCGCCCGCGCACAGGCACTGCTCTGGGTACGAGATTGGTTGTCCCTCCAAACATCAACTAGACCCAGTCCTCTGGTTCGATTGGGAAATGGCTAATTGTTGACAAGTGTGAACAATGTGGGCCGTACAACATTGTTCAATCCTGTTAAACAGCAAGCTCATAATTTTTTACGCGTGTATGCTTGTCCGGAACGGGAATCGAACCTGCATGCGGCCATGCTAGTCAAATTTTGCACACGATTTTTACCTTGTTCAAAGCCAAAGTACAGTATGTGTGGGATGGGGCCGTTCAATTTTATAATGTTATTATTAGTTCTATTCTTTGGATATCTGGGCACTTAATACAACATATAAGCATAACTGATCCCTGGTGGAAAAATCCTTCGTACGGCCCTAGTGCGGCTGTACCGGTGCTTTTAAAAACTGGTAAATAAGAGCTGTATTTACAATAATTCCTAATTATCATCACTTGTTGCGTATTTCTCAAATGCATTGGTTGGACGGACTTTAGCACGACTATCTGTTGTCACGTTTGCCGTATACCATTGGACTTGTGTGTGCATGAACAGGTCATATTGATGTGAACGCTTGTGATCTCGCAATCTGTTGGAGCGGATGAAACCTCGTCCACAGACGTCACAAACATGAGGTTTAACGTCACGATGGATATGCATGTGTTGTTTCAGGTTACCTTGGTGACCAAAACATCGACCACAGACGTCACATTGAAACGGTTTTTCTCCAGTGTGTATTCTTTCGTGGTTGTTGTAAGCACTGCGACATACGAAGAATTTCTTACAGTAGAAACATTGCCATTTTCGCTTACGAGAGCAGGAATGCTCGATCTAGAAAGTAAACAACTATCTAATTAGGTTAGAATTAAATTAGGGCAACTCACACTAGAGCTATGTGCAATATTTCGTAAGCAAATTACCCCTCTATTACAAAATGGCGGCGAGTCGTGTTGTGGCTGCCGGATACGCATGCGTATACGTATAACATTGCAATCTGTTTATTTTGCATGTGCGCACACTGGCAGGAGATTCCAAAACAAACTTTTGTGCCAAACATTCATTATTCAACATGTGATTTCGTGGGGGCACAAGGGGGATCGACTGGGGGACATTTGCACCCCCACCCCCCAGCTTGTATGTTAGAATGGCCCTGGATTTTGTAAGTGCTTTTATAAACAAATGAGTATGATTGTGTAAAGGCTGCTTTAGCAGATGTTTAACCGAAATGTCTAGAAACACTAAGACAAAAACTAAGAACAATGCTCAATGTTTCTGCAATCTTCATAATCTTTGCCATAAGCCATCATCATTCATATACAGGTGTTCTTTATATATGCCAAAGTATATTAAAAGCAATTAATATTGGCCTTTAATTTGATGAGAGTTATATGTTTTGCTCGAATGACACATGGATTTTTGTTCAATTGCCCGACCGTAAAAATTGTGGGGACCTGTGCCCCCCCCCCCCGCCCCGCCCCCAGCTGATACGCCTATGCATATGGCTACTGTCAGTAACAAGTGTAAAATAATAAAATTACTTTAAAAGATTTGCATGAATTCTGCTTCTATAGAATCTATAGAATAGTACTATAGAATCCTCAACTAGGTAAGTAATGTGGGCGCGTATGAGGTAATATTATCTCTGATAATAGATAAATTAATAATAGCCTTCTTGAAACACGGGTCACGTGATCGTGCGATGTTTACCAAGAGTAGTCTATCCACTCGGTGATTTCCGATCGCAGTTCAGAAATGCATACGGTCAAAGCTATTTTTGATTATATAGCAATTTCTGATTAATTACATTTTTAAAAACTTAATATTGAAAATATATATAGCAACAAATCACCGCGTTATTTTTAAAATCTGAATGCAAAGCCGAGCATCTCACGAGTGCCGATCTTCATCCGACTGGGTAGGCTACTCTTGGTAGACATATCACGAAAATTGCGAAGAAAAGTTGCTGTTAAAAATAATTTAGGGAAAGGTTTATCTATGTTATTTCTTTACTAGATGTCTTTGTCCATTATGTCGAAACGGTTCAATTAGAAGTATATTTTAAATTATCTCCTACCTAGCGTATTAGCGGCTTTCCTATTGGCTACGAGGAGGTGCGTTCAATCTCGAACCCACCTGCTCACGTATGTTTAGGAGGTGGGTTCGAGATCGATGTTTCGGCGGCGGCCATTATGTACCCTGGTTCCAGAGGTTTATTTTTATTATTTTCATTGCGAAGGGGAGAGGAAAAATAAACCTCTGG